ATCGAAAAGGGGGCGGTATAAATCAACACCCTACTTTTAACTAAGTTGTCAACCAATGTTATAAACTACAATTGTACATGTAGCATTTCCCTTTATTTAATATACAACACATATAAGCTTAATTTACTTCTTAAAAACTAGTACAGAGCTCGTGCGATGCACGAGGTTTCCAAATATTAAGGTCATATATCCAGCCTTATAATTATATAAATGAATAAAAAAGATGTACGGGATATATATAGTACGTGACCTGTGCGAGACACGATATATGTTCATTTGAGGAGTATTATAATTTAATATGCAATATTCAATAAAGTTGTACAACACACAGGAAAATTGTACAATAAAATAGTATTGAAAATAGAAACAATCATATATTATTAAAGATTTCCTTGTACGTAACATTATGAGTTTGAATATTGGGTAACTCATTCTCACAAACTAATATCTTCAACCCCCTTCTATTAGTCACACGCGAAACAACAACATATAATTGATCATGACTAAAGACATGCTTCTTTAGAAAAAGACCAACGTGAGATAAAGACTGTCTCTAAAACTTGTTTATGGTCATGACATACGAAACCATAAGTGAGAACTGCCACCGCTGAAACTTAAATGGAACCCTAAGACCAGAAGGAATAATATTCATTCTAGGAATCAACACTGTGTCACCAGCATGATCACCAGTCAATATCTTGCATTCAAGACAAAAAAAAAAAAACAATAGGCTTGGATCATTCATATTTCACATCTTTTAATAAGTGACGTTTATTTAAGCCAAAAAATTAACATGTTAATTAATATATAATTCCGCTAACACGTCATACTAATATTTATTTGATTTTAGAATACATATTTATTCATTGATATAAGAGAAAATAAAAATTTTATTAATTATTGTTCACCATATAATACTCAATTATTATTTTATTATAAAATTTACAGTTATATAATGTAATTATTATTATTTATAAAAGTTATAGAAGTAGTCTTCTTTATATAATGAAATTCAAAATAAAATTTTGAGTATAAATGTTTACAAAATACACACACATGTTTTTTAGAATTCAATTTTCTCATAATAATTATTTTTTTTCATCCTAAGGCTTTATAGTTTATTTAGCATACTATGCAATAGAAAAATATTTTACAATAAGTTCATTTTTGAAACATAACAAAAAAAAGGTGATAAAAATACTATCATAGTTGATAATAATATACAAATAAATTACATGTCGAAATTTTAAATAATAACTAATATAATTTTATTATCTAACCATCACTAAAATCATTTAATGATGTAATCATTATCATTTAAATAATATATAATATTAAATTTTTAAAAAAATATTAGTGTTATATAATTAAATAAAGGTTAAAAAATATTACTCGACAAATATTGATTATAATGGATATCAGTAAAATCATTGCATAAATTATTTAAGGAAAAAATCTTTAAGATCATATTTGGATAGTAAATGTAAATATGCAAGCATTTAATGCATATAGTAAAAAATTTCCAACTAAAGTATGCATTACATGTGTGTTGACTTTTCTTACTACTGTTTTTGGTAAATAGGTTGGCTTTTAATATATATATATAGATATAGATATAGATACCGAAAATGTTTAGTTTATAAATTTTCTTTTAGATTTTGTTTTCCTTAATATGTAGCCAATTAATATTGAAGTACAAATTAATTTGAATTTAACAAATCTTTCAAATATAAAACTCCCCAACTAATATTTACGTACAAAAATAGCTGATACATATATATTTTTTTTTGCAATATAATATACTTTCAACGCGTATGAGATATACACTTTTATCAAGGCACGTTTAATTGATTGATTTCCTAACATATTGGATAAAACACACAAAAAAGATTTTGATGATGTATGGCGACACATAAAATTTTTGTTTAATTTACAAAACAGGTTTTTTGTTATTTATTTATTTTTATGAAACGATAAAGAATATTATATAACAAAAATGCACAAATGTGCAAAGTACACAGCCCCTAGCTGAATAATACAACCAACAGCGAAAAACTGGGAGGACATGTCATAAGACTGCCTAGAACCCGACTAGCAACGCTAGAAAGAAACTCAAAACAACACGACACAAAGACCTAAATGTGGAACGACCCCCAACGAGGTAATGTGGAACGACCCCCAACGAGGTAATATGGAATGACCCCCAACGAGGTAATGTGGAACGACTCCAACGGAGTAATTCCTCTTACAGGGGCCAAATGACCCAAACCAAAAAAACAAGACTAAAACAACACTAACACTGACTCAAAATAGACGAAAACGGAAAAACTATTAAACAGAAATTTGGCTCTTCCCCAGCCAACATACCGAGCACCAGCCAGCAGAGAACAATCGACCCAAGAAAGATCTGAGCCCAAGGAACCGCAACCGAAACTGCGAAATCGCCTATACAAAAGCCGAACCCAAGTCTCAAACTTTTCCCAACTCGACCCACCCCCACCGAGAGAACGACGAGCCAGCTCCCTACTACATCGCCACTCTAACTCTTCTAACACCACTAGTCGAGTTTGGTAGCTCCGGAGTCCCCCACTGTCCCCAACACCAAAGAACCGGGGGTGAGACCCGCTCCATTCCACAAATCCGACGTCCCCGACAATGCACCGCATCCGCCAGAGCCCCGACCCGCCCGCTGAAGCACACCCATCCTTGATGACTGCAGACCACCGGCCATCGGAGCCCTATCCGCAAAAACCCCATCAGAATAGGTGAGCCCTACCTTGATCTCGGACAGAAGGATGATTGAGTGGCAGGACGCCTCAATTGAGGACTTGTCGGCATCCAAGGAACCAACCCAAGACTTCGACCAAGGGAGCAACACCGGAGTTTCATCGCGCCGGAAACCAAGGGCACGGACAGGAACCCCCTCTGAATTGGCAAATTAGACCCTAATCCCGGACTCGAAAAAAGTTGAAACAGCAGGACACCGCGATTGAGGACCCACCGGCAACCATTACGACCATCAATCATCGACCGAGAAGTCCGCCAGTCGTCGACCGAGGGCAGAACACCGAAACCTCGAAATTGCCTGAAACAAATGGGAACCTCTCTAATCCCGTTCATCTGCAGAGGAAAGGGACATGTGCCTATAGGGACGGGCCGAGCGGACAAGGGTGACCGCTGGCCCGAGCTTCGCCGGTGCCAAGGAAGGCAGATCAGCTGGAATTGAAGAGGACGATCGGCGGACTAGGTTTTCTGGGAATGGTAGCTACCGACTTTTTTCTACTTTGTCGGCTTTTTTGTGGGATTTTTTTTTGTATAATTTACTATAAAACACATAAAACTTTTATTTAGAAAGAAATCAATACGAATACGAAACAAGCAATACCTGGGCAAGCCATTGAACAAGTTGGTCGCCAACCTCCGGTAATGTGGCGCCACCTTTCTTGCGGTCATCCTCGAGGAGGGCACCCTCGAGGCGGTCGACCACCTCATTTATGGAGGCCGACAACAGAGACGTCGGCTTTGGGGCGAGAGGTTCAGGCGGAAGGTACATGTTGCGCCCTCGTTTCCAGACCATTTCACCCTGGTCAGTGCGGGAACGCTTTCCCAGTGTCACCTCGCGCTCCGCATCATCTTGGCCACTAAACTCGACCAGAGCCTTGGTCGAGCCAGTAGAGAGGCTCTTGGAAGAAGAATGGTCGAGAGGAGCTTTGTCTGGGGTCTTGGCTTTGGACGAGGCATTGGGTTCAGAAGATTTGTTCGTGGTTTTGGAAGAAGTGGCATCTTTGGGATTGAAAGCTCGATGGTCGGTTTTTTGGTGGCTGTTGTCGATCTTTTGGCGGTCGTCAGTTTTTTGGTGGCGGCTGTCGGTTTTCTGTTGGCGGTCATTGGTTTTGGAGGTGGTCGAGGCCTGGTTGGTAGAGGCAAAAGCAAATGTGTGCTGGGGAGTTTTGCCGGGAGGAGGCGGAGGAGTTTGGCGTTGCTGCGACTGCTGTTATTATTGCGGCCCTGGCGGCGGAGGAGGTGGCAAAGGGGTCCCTTGAGGAGGTGATCGCGGCTGCGGCTCTGGTCGAGATCCAGAGGAAGTCGCCGACCCCTCGGCCTGGCCTCCGGTCGAGCCAGAGGTAACCCCTGTCTTCTTTTTTAGAGGAGTTTTTCTCGGAGGAATGTTGAAACTGAGCACCTCTGCAAGGAAACAACGAGAAGATTACATTTGACATTACCAAAATTTATTCAACACGAGAGCAAAGGATCACATATATACTCGAGCAACCTGGTCGAGGATTACCTGGATCATTCTCAAGTCGAATGAGATCGAGGATCTTATCACTAGGGGAGGACAGGTCTTGTGGGTGAGAAGACCGCAGTGGTGAAGGAGGTTTTCGTCCTTAAGAATTCTTTCTGACGCAACGGACTTGGAGTTCCAAGTGTGGACCCGTTGGTCGAACAGAGTTTTTGGAGGAGGGGCCGAAGCCGCCTCTTGTGAAACTTCCTTGACCCAAGGTATAGAGGGCCAAGGAAAAGGGACATCAGGCTGAACAAAAAGAACTTTATCACTCCACTTAGGGAGATTGGAGGGAATGTCATTAATAAAGTGGGCGCCATTGCGACTTTTCAAGTAGAGGCCTCGACCTTGTTTGGAAGAGGCATAACAGTAATGGAAGAAAGCTAGGTCGAATCGACCTAGGCGGATGTGACAGAGTATAATGAAGGTGGTCATGAAACGGATGGCATTAGGAGGAAGTTGATGCAGGGGAAGCGAGAACCACTCGCAAATGCGAAGTAGCTCGGGATTTAAGGGGAAGTGGAGACCAAGTTTGAACTGGATCTCGAAAAAAGTATAAAATCCCTCGGGGGATAATCGTATCTATCGAAAGAAGAAGAACTAAAAAATTACCAATCACTGGGGTGGTCGATCTTCTCAGGAGAATACCAAGAACGGGAGAGAGAAGGGCGCTTAGTGGAAGTTCTGCGGGGGTTTTTTGGTCGAGGTTTTGTTGGAAGAAGAGTTTGAAGCACCAGGCTGAGAAGAACAAGGAGAAATGGTTGAAGAGGGAGCAAAAGTGGGTTGAAAAAAAAATAACCTCGTCCACCTCTGGGTCGTCTAACTCGCCAAGGGCAGGACGACGACGGTGGAGGGGGATATTATCCATGGTATCCCCAGAATTATCAGAAGCAACGCGGGCAGTAAAAACGATGGTGGGGACGGTCTCGCCGGGGCGAAGAATCGAGAGGGGAACAACCTCAAGTACAGAGGGTAGTATTTGAACTGAACCAGAGAAAGTGGTCAAAGAGAGAGATGGAGGTGCAGGATCTGAAAAAAAGAAAAACAAGAACAAAATCAAAAAAGGAAAAAACTTTCGAGAAAGGCGAAACTTCAAAGAATTAAGGCTCTACGAGGGGGATAATTTCGAAAAAAATTAGAGAAGGAGAACAGGGATTTCATAAGATTTTCGAAGCGAAAGGGCAAAATTCACAAGTGATTGGCAATCGAACACCTACACCCAACATAGAAATTCAAAATACTCAATCAGCAAACTTCAAGACACCCAATTCAAGAAATTCAAAACGCAAAATCTCAGATACAAGAAACGTAAAATCAGGCGAGAAGCGACTTACTCATAATCGCAGATGAAAGATTTGGAAGAACTCGAAGATCGCAGGGGAAATCGCCGAAAAAGATTAGGGTTCTTGCAAAAGGGATGTTTGAGCACATGAGGGTTCGAAATTGCAAAGGTGGAAAAACTCAAATATTTCGCTAAGTACTGAATTTATACTTGGAGAGTTGAAGAGTTGAGAGAGGAGAGCCGTTGGATTAAAGATAGATCTGACGGTGGAAAGCGTTAACTCACACGGAACTCAAAGTGGGCGCATTATGCGAGGAGACACTATCATTAAAGTGACTGACAAATGCAGCAGACGCGACGCGTGGCAGAAAAGCAGGCGCGGCAGAAAGGACATGTGACAGGCGACCTTATCTCTGGCAATTAATGAGGTATTATTTGAAAAAATAAGCGGGAAATCCATCAGATGGTTGATATCGGACACCATGCTACCCAAGAGGCTGATGAGCACAAATTCACTCTTAGATCGAGTCATTCAGACTCGACCAGAGTGGGGGGACTAGATGATATAGGATATTATACCTACCAGTCTAAACCGGTCTGCTGAATCGGACGAAAAGGTCATATCATGAAGGAACCGAACCAAATGGAGGAAAGATCGAGCAGCTAACCTGTCGACCAGTCAAGTAGTTGACTAACCCATCACTCGACCAGATAAGTGATCGAGCAACTCAGTCGACCTCAACAGGTCGATCATCTTGCAGACCTGACACTCTAATGGATCGGCCTAGTCACAGGCGCGTGTGAGAGCCTCTAACGGAATTTCAGAAGAATATTTATCCCATGTGCAGGAGGACACGTGTCGAGAACTTATTGGTTGACAGCGACAACCACCTCTGACAGCTTACCCCATGTGCAGGAGGACACGCGTCCAAAGAGTATTGGTGCAGGCGATAGTGGCGACGGCTACCTCAGACACATTCGTATAGTGTGTACGGACGGGCAGTTAGGGCAGACAGTTCACCAAATCTGGGCAGCCCTAGGTCAGGTATCTCACACCTATATAAAGGGGGTGAGCCTTTCTTCTTCAACACGAATTTTCTATTATTCACGTCAGTATACTCATACACATACTGACTTAAGCATCGGAGGCTCTTCACCGGACACAACACCGGTGTGAGAGTTATTTGCAGGTTTCCAACGTTCAACCGACGAGGACAAGAATCGACCTATTCCAAATCGGACCAGGACGTTCACACTTGCATTAGGAAGAGAAGAGAATTCCACATCTTGTGAAACATGCCCCACACCTCTCTTGTCTCTCATAGTTCCCATTCGAGCTTTATCTTCTTCTTCTTGTACTGGTACAAGATTAAGAGGTGTTTGAGATATATAGTAGAAGATCTTTGGGTAAAGTGAGACGAAATATATTTGGTCGTACAGAACTAACTGGAAGTCCGATAAAGACGTGCAGCATACCAGACGACCGTATCGATGAGAGCTCTCCAACGCCGCTGAGATCGCAACTGTCCGACCATCTACGCGCCCGCATGCACCGCCGAAAGGTCGTAGGACTGCAACTTGTCTTCATCCGTTTTGCACTCGTTTGATCCAGTTTTCGAGTCGATCTTGTTCGTGCTATCCTAAGACGCGATTTGTAGTCAACAATTCATTGGTGTGTTGTGTACAGCCATCCAGAAGATCAGCTAGATCGCCATAAATTTTAAGTCGTAAGTTCTCTACGCAAACCTTTAGATTCGTTGCGCATAGGTTTACGTTTTGCTATTGAATTCGTGATTTGTGCATAACGAGATCTTCATTGATCCGAACAGTGTGTGATGTGATAGTTAATAATATTTCAGAGTCCTTCAACAACTACATTCTGGAAGCTAGGGATATGGCTATTGTGGACATGTTTGAGTGGATCAGAAGGAGAATGATGGCAAGAATCCAGGTGAAGAAAGCTGGAATAGAAAAGTACACAGAGGACATTTGCCCTAATACAGTGAGAAAAATTGAAGACAAAGGGAAATCAGTAGGAATTGTTTCCCTACTTGGGCTGGAGAGGACAAGTATGAGGTGGTTCATGGAGTCAACTGCCATATAGTCCAATTGGGAGCAAGACGATGCACATGTGGTATGTTTCAAGTGGTTGGCTACCCCTGTTGCCATGCACTGGCATGCATCTCTTATCATAGGTTCAGTATATCTGATTATGTGTCTGATTTTTTCAAAAAGGACATGTATATCAGGATGTATAGCCATATCTCCCCAAACTTAAACCATTGCTTGTCCTCAAGCAACTTAGAGCTATAATACGAAGAACGGACACAAGTACGTGGAATTCTCACTCAGGTCCTCACACATCTCACATAAATGCATAGCTACAACTTCTCAAGTTAATAATTCCGGACTCAAAATGAAATCATCTTTAGAACGCCAACAATCAAATATCAATTCAGTGAATCACCACAGTTCATCAATCTCTTCACCGAGTATATCAATCATGCAACTAACGACATCCATTTCTTTGCCAATCTACTTAACTCCTCTTCGTTTCTAGCCAAAAATCAAACGTCTCGGTTTTTTTTTTTCTTTTCTTTTTTTCTCTCTTTTTTTTTGGGAACGGCAGCTCTGTCACATTCTATGGTGTTTAGCTATTCGTGCTAGAGTGATGCACTAAAGCTCACAGACTGGCAGCTGTTGCATCCCACAATTTTTTTTTTCTCCAACACCCATTATTTTTCTCCTCCACCTTCATTATTCACACCATTTTTTTTATTTCTTTCTTTTTTTTTCGAGACATTCAACTCTCAACTTTCCACGTCAAGTCACTTCACACAATCGACATCAAGCAGAATAATCACTAGCACATTTCAAAAATATAAACAGTTCGAGACCAACTCACCATGAATAAAACACATAAATATTAACTGTCATGTCTTTGTCCATCAAATAACAACACTTCAAGAATTTAACCAGAAATCATTAATCCAAGTCATCATAACTAGCACATTAATATTAATGGATACTCAAATCATCATTGCGAAATTCCACATACAAATAAGCTCACACTAGTCAAGAAAAACATGCTAGGACATCAACTCAACAACTCAAGCTCATAGACATCTCACACTAACGGGCCTCCCCAAACTTAGAGTTTGTATAAATGAGAAAGCAAAATAAGAGGTAAAAGGAAAGAGTTCACCTTATCAAAGAGAAGAAGTAGCATCGCACACCATTGGGTTGCCTCCCAACAAGCGCCTTTTTTTATTGTCGTTGGCTCGACTTATTACTCCGCTTTCTTCAAGCGGTCCATGGCGGCTTCATAGGTGGCCTCAAAGGAGGCATGAACCGTGCAGCGCCATGCATGTGAAGCCTCCCCTCGTCCGGTGTCGGGTGCTTGACGGGATCTTTTCTTCTCGGTGGTAGATTGTCATGGTAAAAGACTAGCCCGAGATCATGGATAAGAGGGAAAATCTCAACCACCTCAAGGATGAAAGACTCTTGATATTCAACGTGCTCGATTGCTGGTTGTTTGAACTCGGATAGAAGAAATTGATTTTCAGTCATGCTCGTGGCAATTGATGGAGCTTTCACAACGTTTTCACTTTCAAGCAGGCTGTTATCGGGGCCCCCGATAGCAGTAGTAAATGCTACCAGATTTTTATCGAGGGGGCCGATATCAGCGAAAATTTTCTCCTCATTGCCTTCTTCTTCATTCTCTTCGCCGTTCGGCTCAAAATTACGTTCTCCAGCACCTCAGGCTCTGTGTCGCTGCACATCCTCAGGTCTCCGACATCATCGTGGCTAGCTTCGGCTTGCGATAATAGCCGACTCTTGGCTCGGGCATCCAATTTGTTCAATATATCACCAATCGCTTTGCTACTAGCCATCAAAGAATTTTGACACTCCTCAAATAACTCCATCAATGACGGACTAGTCTCTTGTCCAAGCGAAGGTTCTGAAAAATATTGTGAGCCTCCATAGCGGAAGTGAGGGTCATCGTGCTCATAAATAGGCTCATACGATCGAGAATATTGTGGATTTTCATAGAATGAATTTCCACGTTCGCCCCAACTGTAATGGTTCCCATAAAAATTTGAATACGCCCAATAGTCTCGTCGATACCAATCTCTCTCGGTAGCTCTGCGTGCACCATACCTCTCGAATAAAAGTGGACAATCATCGGTGACATGTTGTGTGGTATGACATAGACGACATGGTCTCTTTAAAGCCTGACGAATACTCTCAATGGCTTCTTGGATCATAGCCGACATCCTAGTCTGACGTTGTTGGTCTCTTATTTCCCTCATTCTCATTTCATAATATGAGTCGTACGCATAAGCACAATCCGGGCTCCAATACGCACCCATTTTTACGAATACCACCTGCAAAAGAAACCAAAAAAAAAGAAAAATAGGGGGATTAAAGAAGTCAAAGAAAAATAAAATAAAATAAATACTACTCTAATTACCTAAGTCAATTAACATTAAAAAAAAACTCACAACTCAGTTGCACCACTTCCCGGCAACGGCGCCAAAATTTGACCGCGCGTCGCGACGCGGCAAATTTAAATTTATAAAGTTTCCTTAACAAACCTCTACTAACTAGTAGTAGTGGCGAGTAAGGGTCGATCCCACGAGGAGCAGGAACTAAATTGTGATAATTTCGTATCAATTGA